CACTAGAACTGCATTCATTAAAACAAAATGGTCTCATATTGGTCATTTTGAATCCCATCTGAAAAACAAAATGATGTGCATAAATGTATGTACCAAGTTTTGACAGAATCCACCTGTAAACATCCAAGATCCGGTTCTGAGATGCCAGAAATGCTCAATTTAGATTTTTCAGCACAAAAATGGCCACCTTTCGGCCATCTTGAATTAGATTGTGAAACAAATTGATGTGCTTATGTATAATATGATGTATGTGTGAAGTTTGAATGTAATCAATCCAGGCATGTCTAAGATACAGGACCGGACACACACACTGACGCACACACAAAGGTCAATCCATAGGTCCCTGTTATCGGACTGCGTCCGAACAGGGACAAATACTAATAGTCATATACCTTGATTTCTTCTTCAGTAACAGTGATTACATCCTCAATATTATCTTTGATGATAGGAAAAGAATTAACTCCTACTGATGTTTTCAATCCATCAGCAATTGTGTCCGGTGGTCCCGGTAACGGAATTCGGTGACCTGCAGCAAACGATTTGGCACAGTCATCAGCATTGATGGGTTCAGCTGCATAGATTTTAATATCTGGTTTGATGTGCTGTAAAGACAAGTATAATGATTTTTAAGTAGATCTAATAGTGATTTGAGGTATACTGTCATCTGAATTGTGCAAGTGTGGATTCTGTTTGTGTATTCTCTGGTTGGTTTATCTGTATCATATGTGCTACGTAGGTAATAACCATGTCTTTCTAATGTAGTTCCCAATCAACTACATATAAAATTAACTACAGTATAAATACAAAGAAATGCTTTTGTACATATAATTAAGTCACCAAAAAACATGTTACTTGATTTCTGTTTACACACCCCAAATATAAAACATGCAGGAATAGTCTAAACAAAAAAATAGCAACTTATACATTTCATAAGTTGTATGGTTTGAACAACATAACTACAAGTCACCAGGCATGACATACTGATGTAAAAAAAAATAGGAAATTAAACGAATATAGTCTTAGATCAACTGACACCATTGTTTAGAAACATTGCTGCAACCACAAAGTCAACTGCTATGGAGCATCTTTTGTTTGGTATTACATTGCTCAATAATACAGCTAGAAAAATGTGGCTCATTGATTAAGTTGTATTTGAATACAATTGTTTGCCAGGCGACAATTGTTGTCTCTCCTGATGTGTTTTATGTGCAGTTTGCAAGTGCTGATATAATACAAAATTTGAATACATAATACTACATTGGGTTATAGATTAACATCTATTTCTCAGAATGTTATACATGTAGTCAGTGTGAAGAGCCAATTGAATGTAATTAATTCTGTGAGCATTTTTTTCATGCATAAAGATTACTCCATCAATTCATTTCACTTTAACAAAAGGGGACATTCTCTACATGCGGAACAGTTATTGAGGACTGCATTAATTGTCAAAATAAATGGTTAAGGAAACCAATATTTACCTTGGCAGCAATGCAGATACCAGCAACCATACCACCACCGGATACAGGGGCTACAATAGCATCAAGATTAGGTACCTGAAACAGAATTCAAGATATATTGTAAAAATGTATTGACACTTGTCTATAGTCTATAGTGTGTTTATAAATTTTTGGTATCATAATACTGTTACATATATAGTGAAATGATGACAGTGTGATTTTACTGTATACACCTGACAAGCATGCTACAGTCACCATTATGTCTTACTATTGCAAAAAGGAAAAGTCACTAAATATTTCAAAAACTAACTTTCCTTCTATAGTCATTACCTTTTCAATTGTTTTAACCTTATTCACTGACTTCCCTTATATAGTTTCTTACCTCATTCGCTTACTACCTTTCCATTGTTTTAACCTTATTCACTGACTTCCCTTATATAGTTTCTTACCTCATTCGCTTACTACCTTTCAATTGTTTTAACCTTATTCACTGACTTCCCTTATATAGTTTCTTACCTCATTCGCTTACTACCTTTCAATTGTTTTAACCTTATTCACTGACTTCCCTTATATAGTTTCTTACCTCATTCGCTTACTCCCCTTTCAATTGTTTTACCTTATTCACTGACTTCCCTCTTATTGTTGCTTACCACATTCACTAAGTTCTTTACTTACCTCATTCAACAACTCTACTGCCATTGTTCCTTGACCAGCAATTACATCTGGATGTTGAGATGATGAAATGAATATAGCACCAGTTTCTGCCATCACTTTATTTGTTGCATCTTCTCTTGCCTACAGTAAAGCAAGACAATTTATAGACCATTATATAATTGCATATACAGAACAATTCCAGGCTGCTGCAAATTGGGTATAGGTATAAATACAGTTGTATTATTCTCAATACAATAAATGTAAATACCCTGCAGATTTTTTTTTTCAGAATTTATGTGTATACATTTAATACATTGATTTAGTACTATGAGCAACATAGATTATGCTACCCTAGATTACTAAACAATAAACTTACCTTTTCACCAGGTTCACATTCAACAACTGTGGCACCATACTCTTTAACTGCACGGACTTTAATAGCTGGAGAGATATTCTGCATCACAATATAGGCTTGTACACCAGCCATTTTAGCAGCAAGTGCCAATGCCTGTCCATGATTACCACTGCTGTGTGTCACCACTTTAACTTTTGACTTATCAGGACAGTCATCAATAAGGTGGCTTATGGCATTGTAAGCACCACGGAACTACAAAAAAAAAAAACATAAATATAACTCATTAAACTATATTTAAATGTTTATATTTTTTTTCAACAACACATTTTGTGCCGGCAGACTGTCATCAAGGCTCCCCCAAATCTGCATTTGTTAGTGGATTTAGCCTTTCGACCGCTGAGTCTGTGGCACACTAACCTAAAGTAGTGGTTGACCTCTTTTAGTATTTAACCCAAGGTAGGATATGAAATCATAAGTCCATAACTACAACCACTATTCTACCAGTGACAGGTGAATGCACTGGTATTATTACATCAGTTTCTGAAGGAGAAACTCGACTTACAGAATATTCAATACAAGATTATCTCCTAATATCACTTGTTCGTATACATGTTACGAGCTAGTATTATCTAAACCAAAAGGTGAGAGGATAAAACAGCCCATGGTATTACAAGTTCACTCAACAACAGAGGTTAAACTGAGATCGAAACAGCAGAGGTGTTCAAATATTTTGCATGGAACGTGGAGACAAAAACAAACATTTTTTTAAAAGAGTGGTATCTATAGTCTTTTTAAGATCAGATATTATTATTAAAACAGTGTCATTGTAGCACTCTGTTATTTGATTTTAATATTGTGCAGATCAACCTGGTATTCAAGTTCATTATCCTTTCCTACATACTAAAACAAACAATTAAAAGCAGAAGCACTAGATGGGGAAGCCCTGCCCTGCAATGGTTTCAACTTCAGATTATGATACTAGTAGTTTCTTGCAAAAATTTGACTGCACTATGTTATGATAACTATTCATTAACACATCAAATGTTATGCTGAATGTGATCACAAGTTCAACAGATTTAATGTGCAATAATTCATGTTCTCAAATAAAAAAAATGTCAGTACCGGTATTACTGTGATTTCACATAGCCTAGGGATACAGTGTCCTATGGGTGTACCCTTTCAGCCTGCATGTATATGCTAGAAATCTCTTCACCCATGTTACAGGGAGAATGTGTAGTTTACATTTTTACATGCCTACCACTATGCCAGGAATTCAAAATCCTTGCCAAAGACATCTTGCCCTTTAAAGTCTGGCCTTTTTCTGTTTTGTATTGGTCTTAAATCATTAGTATTTCCCTGGATTCCCTATATTACTGCTTTTTAATTGGTGTGAATTAAGCATAAATCTGTTTTAAAGAGATTTAAAATATTAATAGAATTGAAGAAGAGTCTGGCTAATACTGTGAAATACTTTATTTTAGCTGGAATTAATTTTCGCTGAAAAGGCATTTTGGGTGTTTTGTATGGAATTTATTTTCACTGATTTTTGACGAGTTGAATGTAAAATATAGGGGGAAAAAGTATATTCGCTGGATTTTATTTTCACGTAATCATTCTTTCAACGAAAATAGCGAAAATAAATTCCAAGCGAAAATAAAGTATTCTACAGTAGACAAGTTTCAGGTTCAGTCATTACGAAACTTGCGCGCTGTGGTGTTAAAATTCAACCGCTCATTCTCACATGGAAACAGACTGATTGTCTTTTGTGAGGTTGTACAATAAACATAAATTTCTATAAATTCTAATGCAAATGAGTGTGTGAAGTTTTTGGAACTACTTTATTGCATGGGTCAGAATACATACTTTTGTAATATTGTTATATTTCACCTGATCACCTGAGTGTATTGATATGTAAAAAGTAATGATGTTGGTGTAACTGAAAATGGCGGAATAAATAAGAAGTTAAACTTGAAAGCTCTCTCTCTGGTTTCTTTGATGTTTCGTGTGTTCTTGAGTCAACACAGCACAGTGTGTTTTTGTTGGTTACCGATAGTTGTAGTCTCTGGCTGTTTTTGCTAGTGTCTTTACTCATTTGAAAATCGCATATTGTGTAAGCAATAATCATATTTATTTATGTTTATAGGCAATAAAACTTTTAAAGGGCTGCAAAAGCCGTATCCAGTCCACACAGGTTTTATCATATACCTTATAGGATTCATTAAAAATAATTGCTTTGATCTACTACTGTTTCTTTTATCTTGGTTAATAATCTTATTTCTACCAGTTATTCAATCGTTCACACTGCAGATTGATATTTCTGTGCCTGATGTCACAACAACAAGATGTGCGAATATTTAACATTTGGTCACACTCACAACAGAGTTCCTTACCCTTATACTCCAGCCCCCAATGTGATTCAATATGCCTCTCCAAATAACTACAAGTGAACTGAAGAGGGGTATATACAATGAAAACAGGGGTACTGGTGAGGCAGTGTTATGATTGGAGTTATGGGTGAAGGGGTCCTAAGAAAGTCTTACCAATATCTTTTGATGTTTGACAGCTAGCTGTAGCTGATGTGATCAATGTTTTATAAAGGCAAGCCCCACAACACAACTGCAAAATTTTTTACTGTCAGGATCAATAAATATTAGCTATGTAATCTCTGGCAAAGTGATGTTCCAGTAACTGGCTGAAACTAGTTCAAAGTGTGCACCACTCTGTATATACAAAAAGAATGAATATATAGAAGAATGTTTATATGGTCACACAGGGCCAGACATAGTTTGAACAATTATTGCATTGCTTGAATAACAGGTTTCTCATAGCATTACGAAACCGATAAACACAATTATGATAACACTTGTACTTGGATCTGATGGGGTTCTATTTTTTCATTCATGGTACATTGATTGAAAAAAATCTGCAAAGACTCATGGGTGGTGGGCGTTAAAAAATGGTTTCTACAGCCAAAGGAAGAATCTTCTTTGGATTTAAATGAAACGTAAAGATTTTCCAAGATGAATGTTTTGTAAATATTTATAAATTTTCAAAAAACAAATTCATACCTTCATGAAACCCAGTGTATAATTATATACGGCACCTCATTTATTTACGATAATTATGCAGAAATTAGACTGACAAATCAAGTCAAATATATAAAACACGCTGTACAAAAATGATATTCGACAAGTCTGTACATCTGCATCAGGTAGGTTGCATAATTATAGAATTATTTTATAGGAAACCTTACTCCATATTTTTGACCCTTTGACCTTGTCATTGCTGAAGTTCAACCAACCTCAATAATTCCAGACATGATAGCGCATATGAACAGCGCGGTGCAAAACGTAGGTACTATTATTATTAGTGCTGTTGGAGTAGCCACGTACGAGTCTGAAGCAGAAGACAAAAGTCCGACAACTACAACAGCACTAATATAACTAAGGAATTTGAAGGCCGCATGTGATTGTGCGGTGTATCGACGTGAATTACAATTTATTTAAAATACCAGAATTGTTAAAATCTAATCGTAGGGATATAGTACCGATGGGTTATTCTTGCCTGGGTCGCTACATGACTACATACCTTGAATGCCCCAATCTTTTGGAACAGCTCACATTTGAAGTAAAGATGTCGTCCCCCGGAAAACCTATCCATGGTTTGGCTCGTCATTACCGGCGTTACATGAGCCGCCGGCTTTATTCGTTCGACAGCTTTTTGCACATCTTCGTAGCTAATGCAGTATTTCTTTTCCCCAGACATAGTGGCAACGAAAATACGTCGAATTTGGCAAAATCTGGACCGTACAAGTTTCGTGCAGACGTCACCACGTAACCCCAGTAATGGCCTCGATGATATGCAAATTACGTGTGACATTTGACCTTCAGGATCGCCTACCAATCGTAAAATAAATGGCTTCTATAATATACCATTATGATAGTACGAGACGCGTCCGTGTTACACATATTCGTTTATATTTAATTGTGAATGAAACAAAAAATGTAACAAATAAATATATAACAAATGAATAAATTTTGTGATAAATACCACCAAAACACAGACAGATACGATTCCACCTTTGCCAACAAAGAATATAAATTATACATACCACGCAGTATAACCGTGTGCCTGGCATGGACGTTTTTTTTTTTTTTTTTTGCAAAGCCTTAACAATAGTAGCTAATATGATTTATACATATGTCATTGTTATCTACTATAAGAATAATAGGCTTGTACGTGTGACGGCAGAAAGTATGTGACGCTGAGTCACAGGGGTACCGAGTGTGAATTGCTCGCAAGGTCAAATGAGAACTGTTGTAATCCAAGCATCGCGCCGTATCACTGAACGGCTCCCTGAAATTACTCCCTTACCTTGTGAACGTTCAGGTGTACACTTTACAACTCATAGTAGACTAGTGGAGTCATTCATGTGATTGGAGTGTTGTTTACAGAGACGCCGCAGACGTTTGTGTCAAAGGTTGTATGTGTTTTCAACATGAATGAACTTGGTAGGTTTAAAGGTCATTTGTTTTACGCTGAGGAGGTTAGAATTACGTTACTGCGATGTAATGTAAAACCGTGTGGTCATTACATAATTACAAGATCAAACTGTCAATTACTTGTTATTTTATATAAAATATACAGATAAATAAACAACGATATTGGTGACGTCATTACATTTAAAGGGCGGTGGTCTTTGCACAGCGCGTGTTCGAATTTCATATAAACAAACAGTGTATTTTACACGCGTTTGTACGTCGCCATGAGTCCCACATCGAACAGGACGCGGCGCGACGACCACCACCCTTTAACAATTACATAGCGTTAGACATGGGTTACCTTCTTGTCCACATGTTGCGAACTGTGAGGGGTGGACCATTAGAAACATTGGTGCGAAGGCAGAACAACTGCATTTTGTCCCTTCACTTAAATTTTTCTATTTTTTCAATGATTAATTCACTGTATTTTTTTTAATTTCTTCTATGTGTAATATTTTTTCCCTGGGAATTAGGCAGACGGATTTTTTTCTGTAATTGATCCGTACAGGATTTGGTTATATAGCTATTGCGCAAACGAAGGAGTGGGTCTACGCAGTTGACATGTGGACAACTAGCATATGCAGTTTTAGGCATATTTTTACTACCAGCCTTTCACCAGAGTTTCACACCGAACACGTTCGTCCTTTATTTATGTTAGAAAAATAGAAAAACATATTGCTTATTTTATATTATTCATACACCCCATTGGTCATTATCATTGGAATTAAAAGTCGTTATCTTTGTGATAGGTATTTTTGATGGTTAAAAACCTTTCACTTAGGTAACCGGGGTTCGGTCGTTTCCACGCTAGGCTAACAAAAGACACACACAAGCTTCGTTCATGTTCCCAAAACGATTCTCTGCCAAGTCCCTGGTTTTCACCCGAGACAGCATTAAATCCATCTTTATTTCTTGTCACCCCTTAACCAATTACAATCAGTATAAGAGACTCCAAGGCCTTTCCTTCCAACAAACAACCAATCACATGAAAGTTCTACACATCATAATCAATTAATTACTCGTCAAGCTGTCTAGAGAAAACATTTCTATACATTGTCAACACTAACTAATATTGATGGGGTAATAATCTCGCACTAACATTCCACCAAGATACTACCTTTTTTTAAACTCGCAAACAACATTGGTTTAGAATTACAGCTACTGTCTTGTATCTTAAAAACTGCAGAGTCATAAGATGTTTTTGGTTGATTTCGACCAGCTCGCCATCTGGTCTTGTCATTAACCTTTATCAGTATATGTCATGACAACCACTGTCAAACTGACTGAAATATAAATCATGATATCTTCACCAAAAGCGAATGAAACAGCATATCAAATTAGCAAGTTGAAAAAGAAAAAAAATGGCTTTCTGAAAATAGCAATGAACGGCCGAATTTCTTATGAGAGAAAACTAAAATGTCTCATTCTCGTGAATGGCGACAGTTTCGACAAAAATCATGAAATTTTCAAAAGAAAATGTTAGGTATTTACTCGTATTATTAATGATTTAATGATAGCGTGTCAAGTGAAGAAAAAGTTATCGAAGTACTAATAATAGCAGCCAATTATTCTGTACAAATCAGTAGATTTGTCATTTCCTCGTTGACGACTGATAGGCGAGAGCATCTTTTATCTTAAAATCAACAAACCAGCTATATTAATTTAACAGAAGTTATTTGAAAACCCCCCAAAAAACTTATTTATAATTAAAATTGCAAACAGCATTACAAAGTCTCTTAATGTTTTGGCAATATTGGTTTCTTTATAATTTTTTGCACAAATCCAAGATGTCTGATAATTGATGGTGAATGTATTCAATTCATGGCGGCCTAACAATTTGACCAATTGCAATAGGTTTCTCCACATGATAACCCACAACCAAACTTCCGAAAAAAATAAGCAAGTGGTTCCGAGAACAAAAATGATTTTAGGTTTTTTTTCGAAAAATGCAATATGTTGATAAATGTCTGAGGATCGTCAAAATTTCTACATATTTTAGATTTCTGATACCCACGAAAGTATTAGATATAGAGTACTTTTTTTTCAAAAATCCAAGATGGAGTCTGAACAACATAACTAAGTATAAAATGACTAGCAAATCCAAATGGCTTTCTACATACCTTCCGCATTTCAGATAAACGTAGTGGTTCAGAAGAAAAAGATTTGTATGCATCATATGCCATCCTAAATAAAATATGGCGTGACGGGGTATGTTTTCATTAGTGATATTAGGAGTACCTGTCTCAATGATGTTACAACAAAGACCCCGGATGGAATTGAAATATATTATTTCTGTTTTTTTGGCAATAAGTAAAATGTATTTCTAATATTACTAGACGAAAACAAGTATTGTGTCCTATTGTGACTTAATTTGGTGTGATCACGAAAGGTATACATTCCAGGGTGTCCATGACAATTCAGAATATACTTCTTCTACATGAGAAGCGATTATATGCAGTGTTTCTACCAAATCGTATGACATGAGGGAGATACCCACATAACAAAATACAAAACGGTCATTCAACACTAAAATATCGAGTAATGGTTGTATTTTGTAAGCAGCTCAAAATTGTTATTTATTCATTTGCATACTTTTCATTTGCATATGCTTCGTTCGTTTGTTTCATTTCTCCACTGTGCATGGTTATTGTAACCCATTCACTGTGTACTGTTTACATGTACTTTTTACCGTAAGACCGTGAAACAGAAATCTGTACAATGCTAGGAACACAAACTTTAGCTTCATTTATTCATGAACATGGCAGCCATATTGTAAACTCTTCCTTACATATTGCCTGTAAGAGAGCACTACACAAATAACAATTACATGGATACAAATGTATATACTGGACATTACATCCATCTCCTCTTTAGATATTCAATCCATGAATGTTAATAAATAAAACATATTGCAAAGTTTGTATAATTCTGGTATAATCTATATGATAGCTTTTAACTTGCTTTGCACAGGTTATAATATCAGTTCATAAACATAGGTATCTCACAAATATTCATTGCAGTAGTAACGATGAGAGAAGGAAGGTATCAACCCGGTCAATGATCTCATTGTTATTGTTTATGTTATGAAGTCTTTGAGGTATTCCGGTTCACGCCTTAATCTGGTTGATTTCGTATTGATTGTGGTTGTATGTCCGGTGTGATGGCACATTTTCAACATCTGAAGAATTAAATTCTTTTTCTTCCATCTCTTCTAATTCCTATTCACCTGGAATAACTCCCTCGCTGAATTTCAGTTTCCTGAAATAAGAGCTATTGCGTGTGACTTTATGATTTCCTCGACGAGCAGTTATCATTGTCCCCTTCTGTTGCTCGACTTAATATGGCTCTCGCTTAAATGGTCCAGACTTCTTATTTTGTTTTCTTTGTTTGATTAGTACACGATCTCCTATTTGAATGTCTGACGATTTTGCATGATTTCTTTGATCAGCGTACTCTTTCATAATCTGTTTCTTTATTGCATCTTTGGATTGTAGGTTTGTATTGCTGGTGTTGTATTTCTGGAATTATGGTTCTTAGTTTTCATTCAGCTAGTCTGCTGGAGATTTATCAGTTATGGAGTGTGATGTAGCACGTTATTGATGTAAAAAATCGAATATTTCCTTATGCCAATTATTGCCTTCAAGTAAGGCACGCACTGTCTTTTCAACAGTTCTCATTGCTCTCTCTGATTCACCATTTGCTCTTGGGCACAGTGGTGTCACTTTCTGGGGATGAAGTCTCAAGTGATTAGCAAACTTGCTGAAATCATGTCCATTAAATGGTGGACTTTTATCCATTTAAACATTCTTCCACAGACCACTAGGTAGTGTGGTTATTTTTAACGGCTCATTATATGATTTGCTGCTTGACATGGAACACGTTTAGCTATCAGTTCATCTACCATACGGTCTATCACAGGGAACCATAATGGTTTTCTAAGTAATCTCTTTGTCTTCACTACTCCTTGATGTCCACTATATGGTAATTTGATTGTACGTTGCTGTAATGCGTGTGGGACGTTACCCTCTCAGTATTACTTCTTTTGCAATCGACAGTTCACCCTTCACTTTTCTAAACTGAGCAATTTCAGGATCAACCTCGCTCAAGCAAACGGGACAATAACTGCAAATGTACGATACCAACTTATTTCAAAACTTTTGATTATCTCACTATTGCTATTCAGCTGTCCAACTAATGTAACTATTTAAACACAATACCACACATACATGGATATTTTTAAATTCTAGTTTGAACGTCACAGTCTATATATAAACGGGCTCAGATTACACACGTCTATTGAATTTACACTAATAAAAATACAATAAATATATCAAATATCGTCGTTATTGGCAACACTGGAATGTTTTATCAAGAAAGAGATGGATACAACAGAACGGGATGGTGAAGGCCATTGAAAGTACATGTGACCAACAAGCTACAATAATTTTAAATTGTAAAATAGTGTGTCAAGTGAAGAAAAAGTTATCACTGTACTAATAATAGCAGCCAATTATTCTGTACAAATCAGTAGATTTGTCATTTCCTCGTTGACGACTGATAAACGAGAGCTTCTGTTATCTTAAAATCAACAAACCAGCTTCATTAATATAACAGAAAGCAATTGACAAGTGAAAATTAAATAATGCAAACAGCATTACAAAACCCCCTAATGTTTTGGCAATATTGGTTGAAAAATATGTATGTTTTATAAGTAATATTGGGAGTACATGTCTCAATGATGCTACAACAAAAACTTGTATTATTAAAAAAAAATATATTAAAAATAAATGTTAAAAAAATATTATTTCCGCTTTTTTATAATTTCCCGATTAGACTATTCGTGGTAGATTTTTGAGAATTTACGGTAATGTGACAATTAGATGATATAAACTTCAGACATAAACTATAAATTTAAGATGAATTGATAAAGTGGTTTGGTCGAACCACATAATACATTGAAAGTCAGGTGCACCACTTTACATTAGCCCGAATCTGCAAAGATTCAGAAGGTACAATATTCTCAAACATGAACAATACGGCAAAAAATACGATGGCAAAAAGGCATCAGCGACTACAATCATACATAGCAAAACATATTTTGATAATCTTCACAGGGAATATATGTTAAATCACACATAATTCAACAGGTAGGTTGGCGACGATTCTCTGCATCATTGTTTATCCCCATAGATATACAATCAATACTGTAACAATATTTAATATTTTCTTTGCATAGCATTTTTCTCTATTTTCTAGCTGTAGTAATTAATAATTTACAGACACAACAATGTTTTTGTAAATGATATTTAAATGTGCATATCAAATAAAATAAAATAAAATAAAATAATGAATATTAAAAACATTGAAAGCCATAACAGGAAATAAAATAACAAAGCATAAAAATGTTCAGATATTAATAACAAAGTTATAAAAATGTATAATTGTTATTTTCGTTCATGGTAAAAAATAAATGTTCTCTCATGCGAGTTAATCGTGTCACTATATCGCTATTGTCTAATTCTGGACAAGAGGTGTACTTCGTCCTTCTTTCCGTTAGCATCATAATTTATATCACTCTAAATTTTCTAGCAGAGACTGTTGAACCAAACTCCACTTGTGTTTTCACGTAGATCACATTGTTATTATACTTTTAACTTAATACAGGTAAGCATATTGGTTAGTTAGCTGCGATTCCAATTTATTTCATCATGCATTGTCTTATAAGAGATTGTCTGTCCATTCGTTCGTCCACCGTCTTTAAACAATTACATACTTGTTTAACTTCTTTTCAATCAATCGCCCAATTGCTTTAAATTTATACTTGATACTGTATTACTTTGCGTAATAATCAGCTATCGGATGCGCTTATTTCGTGATAATATCATTCCCTATTGTCCATACTCATTCAGAATATGAATTTGTCATTATTCTTTTGAAAACTACCCACCCGTTTTATTTCATATAGAATTGGCTGAATTATATTGTTTGTACAGAAGCAATTCCTTTACAGCTTTTGTAAATGATTTCGTGATCCCTAAAACGACGTTAGAATCGGCAAAAAGAATGTAGCAATATAATTTTGACATTTTAAGTTAGTTTGTGTAATTCAGTGAAATTCACACATGAAATTTACTCATCAACAGTGTTGTTTTTTTGTAATATTTTTCTTCAGTTGTAATTTACTATGGTTTATAACTCGTTAACCATAGTGCAAAACATTATTTCAAATAATGCAATATACTTCCTAATTTGGTCAAAAATGTATATTGAAGCAAAGGAAACTTATGCAACACAATTATTTTTTAAACTCTATTCTAGTAGTTTTTACAGCGTCTTTCCTATATTATACCATGAAATTTATATAGGTGGGCGAACAGAGTGATATGAAATCCACAATTTGCATATTATCGGGGCCATTGGGCGATTTATGTGATCACGTATACACACAACTCACACGATCCAGAGGTTGCCAAATTCGACGTATTTCTGTTGCCACTATGTCCAAAGAAAATAAATACTGCATTAGCTACGAAGATGTGCAAAAAGCTGTCGAACGAATAAAACCAGCGGCCCATGTAACGCCTGTAATGACGTGTCGGACCATGGATAGGTTTTCCGGGGGACGACATCTTTACTTCAAATGTGAGCTGTTCCAAAAGATTGGGGCATTCAAGGTACGTAACATGGGGATTCCGTTAACTCTTCGTCAGGATTCAATACATTTTGATACATCATTATTGTTATAAAATCGCCCAAAATAAAAGCTAAATTTGAGCAAAAGTGTTTGTAGAGATTCAAATAAAGACTGTATCATTCTAGCAACTCAACCACAATCCTTGATCTTTGTGTTGAAAGAAAAAAATATACACTTTCTAAACATCAACAGAGAGTGTATGTGGTTAATGTAATAATAAACTATCTGAGAACGACACTCAATTGCGTATGGTTATTGTCAAATACAACATTCCCAGGTCAGATTTTGTATTCAAAATAAATCCATGTTATATATATAGACATACATGTTCTTGTTATTTATACAATTATGTTATTAATATACAACAATATAATGTAATAATTATTCCTTCAAATTACTAACTAGGTTTCTATTTGGCTACAAAAATGTAAAAGAAGCCTGGATGTAGTCACACTGTGGCTCAGGCAAGAATAACGCATGGATACTATATCCATAAATTGTCTAGAAAAATGCGTGTACTGATTGTGGATATAAATTAATCCGTGTCGATTACACTGGCATTGGCGAAATATAGACAAAAATCCATATATTTGAGGTTCATGAGACAATTCACAATAAATTTCTTTCGAAAATTTACCTCGTATTCAATGATAGGTAAAAAGACATAAGGCAAGTATAATTAATAAAGAAATACATTTAAAATGCCACTAATAAAGGTAAACTATGTATCTGTACGTATCCGCGACAGGCGGAGGTCAGTACGGGAAAGAGGTAAAAGGTATTTCTAATATTACTAGTATGCACTGCACATTGTGTCCACCCAACAAATATTTCACAAATTAGGAAAAAATATTGTGTTCATTATACAATATTTTAGCACGAACAAAATAGTGACTTAATTAGATGTGATCACGAAATGTATATAATTCATGGTGTAATGGTCGACTGGTTAAAAAGCTACCTATTCCTCATTCTCTGTCTTTGATTTTCAAAAAATACTTCTTTTAATAGAGAACTAAGTATACGCAATGTCCATTTGACATGAGGGAAGCATTAGGATACTCACATAACTATATATTCGTTTGAAACAAGATCAGTTATACAAAATTGCTAATTTTTTTGGCGAGTTTGATAGTTGTGAGAAAAAGTAGAAAAATGTCGAGTGATGTTATGGACATAACGACTTTTTTCAAGTTGAAGATGAAACGGTAAATCCAATGTCACATCTGATACTGAAAAGTTGGTACATGCATTCATATCTTCTCGCTTAGACAGCTGTAATTCATTATTGTCTGGTCTCCCTGTAACTAAGATAAAACCTCTTATTCGTGTACAAAATGCAGCAGCCCGCCTTGTCACTCGTGCTCGAAAATATGACCACATTACAGACATTTTTATTAAACTTCATTGGTTACCAGTTGTACAAAGAATCAATTTCAAATTACTTTTACTAGTGTATAAATCTTTGTATGGTTTTGCCCCAAATTATCTATGTGAATTAATCGAATTTTATGTACCTAGTCGTAGTTTAAGATCTGAATCAAAGTTTCTTATTAAAACTCGTCAGTGTGTAGTAAAAAGTCCAAGTGTTATACAAAGACCGTGCTTTTGAAAATTTAGTCCTAAACTTTTTAATGAA